CGAGGTGTTTGAGGCAGTTCTCAGGCACTTGACATGCCCCATCTGGCCTCTTCCTTCTTCCCCCCTCCCTGTGGACCCCCAATTTTATTCATCTGGCCAGCTTGGGCCCTGTCCCCATAATACTAGCACCCCCAAATGGAATCCATTTCCCGGTTGGGTGTGTCAAATTTCACTTTTCTCCAAGTGCCTCCGTGCCTGAACTTTGAAAGAAGGATCATTTTGGGGAATGCAATGTGTATATGGGGAGGTATGTGCTCAGACAACCTCTCCCACGTTTCTATGAGAAACTGGGGGCTCCTAGAGTGAGCTATTCTTTGATGTCCCCAAGCAGACTCAGTTCCTGCGTACAGGTTCTCTGGTGGACTGAGAGACTCTTTGCAATCCTTTTACTCTGGATTCTGTGGGGATCAAAGGAGCTCATGCACAAAAACTAGGCATTTGGAGTAGGATTTTTAAAAATTTTTAAATAAAAAATCTAATCATAAGCTAGTCCGGGCCAACCGAACAGTCGCTTTAGAACAGCAAAGCCTTAATCAAACAGTGCAATTGTGAAGTGAGCTGAACAACTATTGAAACTCAGCTTTCTCTGCAAGAGGGATTTCAGCACTTGCCCAGTGGCACAAAAGGGGCCTGTGGGGCAACAGCTCCTCTCCAGCTCTGGAAATTAAGAATTGGCGGGGTGGGTCAGGCAGCTGCAGTGGCTTCCAGGCAGCCAAACGCCCGCCGCGGCGGCGGAGGCCGAGCGCTGAGTCCTGCGGCTCGAGTGTCCGGGTCCCTGAGCAGCCTCCGGAGGCGCCGAGCTGTAGCTGGTGGTGCGGGCAGCCGGGAATGGAGTGTGTGTGTCTGTGTGCGAGGCCGGGTGGGTCACAGACATCGGAGCGCAGAGTTGGGGGATCTAGGGACAGAGAGAAAAGACTAGCAGAACACAAACTCTAGAAAAGATTGCTCCCAAATAAAAATTCCAGATCTCATCCCTCTCACTTCAGATACCCTTCCCTAAGAAATTAATATATTTTCCCGAGCAGAATGGAAAGCAAAGGCATGCAAGGTGAGGCCTGCCTACGAACCCCTTCTGGGCCAGAGCCCCGATCCACTCACCCTCTTCCCTGTTCAGAGGTACACAGGCTCCCAGGCCCTGGCCTGGAGCGGGTAAGGCCAGAGTAGGAGCACTTGATTCGCCCTGGGAAACCCTCAAGTGCCCAGCCTCCGATTGGACCCTTAGCCTTGGGGACTCCAGGCGAGTGACTGCCCCCCACTCAGGCCCCTGGCATGCCTGCAGTAAGTTTCTCTCCTCTAATTAGTGCTTGAGAAAAGCATGTGTTTTGGATGGGGGGGGGGGACTGGAGCAGCAAAAGGCAACTTTCCCCCTTTATTCCTGTTCTGTTTTTTGAATTCTGTTTTTGAATCCACTAATTACAGCTCCCAAAGCAAAAATCTGCTTTCGCTGCCAAACCCCCTCGGAATGCCTGATTTCCGAGGCCGAAAGGGCAGAGCAACTCCGAGACCTGCGGGCCTGATGGGGGGTGTTCTCTGATTCTCTAGGCTTGTTTTATGGAAACAAAGAACAAGTTCTCCCCCCTTCCCAGGACTTGTGCATATTTACAGAGCTCAACTGCAGTTTTAATAAAACATCTGTTCTTGCTTCTGTTGATGAGTTTCCATAATTGTTTTCAGACAAATTTAACAGGAAAATATAAATATATTTAGAAAAACCCAAATCCCAGCTTTCTCCCCATAGACAGTTGTTCTTTTGCCAAAAAAAGAGAGAAAGAAATTAACATAAAATGAGAAAAGGAAAATTTAATCCAATGGAGAGAAGATCGGGCTCATCTGACCTGCTCTCCCCCTTGGAGCGAATCCTTCCAGCAAATTTCAGCTGCATAATTAAAGATCTAACTGAAAGAAGGAAGCTTCTTTCCTCAGAAACGGAAGGTGATGGGGGAGAGTGTGTTGGAAATTAATTTTGCTTAAAGTCTTTAAGCTTTGGGGGAAATTATTTGTGTTTCTGCTTCCCCTTCTCTCCCCCTTCCAACATTTCTGCCTTTTTCCCCCAGCAGCTGGTTTCTGTTCATTATAAATCGGCGAGACCTTTCAGTCTCTGCCCTCTGTTTAGGGACGTAATAAAACACTTAACTTTCCGGGGCTGAGACTTACATTCTGCTCCTCAGGTCGCCCACCCCTGTGCCCACCACCTTTAGGCCCCAAAGGAGGCTCTCCCCAACTTTGAGGCCCCTTTCCCCTCTAGACTTGTTTTAGGAGGGGCTCAAAGAAACTCAGGCATCCTTGCTGGGGAGCTGCAGCACGTGTTTCCCCAGAAGCCCCTTCTTTTTTCCAAGGTCCTTCCTTCCCCCACCTACCCATAAAAGAGATTTAAAAATACATAGAAAATCAACACTCATTGAAAGCAAAACTTCATTAAGACGTCCTATCTCCCATCATTCAATTTGTTGTACATTGCAACAATTTAATATCTTGAAGGAAATATCACTGACATGATTTATCCCTCTAGCAATCTCTTTCTGAAATGGGGTGTGTGTGTGTGGAATTTACTCTTTTTTTGGCCTGTTCTACATGTTACACTTCTACCCTTAGGGCAGAAATGAGGCTGGGAACTCTGAGAATGGCTACTTGTGTCCAGGGGTGCACTGACTTGTTCCTTAGCTCAGCCCCCTGGGTCTCCCCGCCCCTAGTTCTCTCTCTCTCTCTCTCTCTCTCTCTCTCTCTCTCTCTCTCTCTCTCTCCCCTCCCTCCCTCCATCCCTCCCTCTCTCTCCCCCTTTTGCCCTCCAGGGGGCCTGGAGCCCCAGCCAGCTGTTGGAAACCTCTGTCCAGGCATGCCATGAATTGGAGGACAACTGGATTCTAGAGCGGAAAGCAATTCACACTAGTGTCTGTGTTTGTATACCAGCCATGTCACCCCAAAATGAGACAATTCATCTCAAAATTTCGTTCTTAATTTAAGAACCCTCCTCTACCCTTTTACCTTCCTCTCCTTGGGGAGAGGAAGGTATGGTCCAAGAGGAGGAACCTTTGTAATTACAGGGGTCTTTCCCCTACCCTTCTAAATACCAACGAATTTTCTTCTCTGAAGGACTGAACCTGTATTTTTAAAAGCCAATACAGATTGTCTGGCAGGAAGACTCTTCAACCCAGTAAGGAGCTAACATGTATTAACTAACATGTTGTCGCCTCCAGCTCCTGCACACTGTCTGCTTTTGGGTTTGAAACTTTATTTTTCCCCCCTAGCGACACTCCAGGGAAACCTTAACGTTACAGAAGATGAATAAACGAGTTTTTTCCCAGCATAGTCCCGTTTATGGCTTTATTGCTACCCATTGATTACTCCGCTTTGTTACACAGAAGGAAAAGATCATAAAATCCGGCGACATCCGGGTCCTTGTTATAGCCAGTCCTCCCCCCCCAAAAAAATGATGAAGGGAAAATATGAGCTTCCACTGCTCCCTTCACTTGCCCTACCACCCCTTCTTTGTCAACTCAAAGCATTTTTAGCCTATATCACGATAGCAAATTAAGTTTGGTTTAATCAGGAGTAAAACCCCATCTGCACACCTTCCGCTGCTTCAGTTCATCCACTGCGGCTCCCTCAGAAACCTCGGACTCAGCTGCCTTTTCCTAACCTCTTCCTTTTTCTCAGCCTCAAGGTGGAAATAGAAGGGGGTGGGGGCTGCTGAGAGGCTGGGCCCCACCAGGTGTGGCTGGCCCTTGGGTGAGAGCTCCCTGGGAGCACTTTGCTGGAATCTCCATGCTCCAGAGCTCAGGTCCAGGGGTCCCTCCCTTAGCAGGGCAGAGAGTCCAGAGGGGGCAGGGGGCTTCTGACATGTGCAGGGGCTTGAGCTTGCAAGATGCTAAGTGTCCATCAGAGCTCCACCAGCCTTCTCTTTCTGGCTGGACCTTATGTGAATTACCCCACTGGCCCTCGCTGGCTCCAAATCATAAATTCTCACCAACATAAACAGGAGTTGATGTGTCTAGAAAGACTCTGAGTTCTTTCTTCTTCCTTCCTTTCTCTCTCTCTCCCACCTTTTACTTCTTTTTCTCCCTTTTCTATTGTATTTTTATACAATCTCCCTTTTAGGCAAAAATGCTGCCAGAGTTTCCCCCAAAAGGGGGTCCAGAAGAAGAGGCAGAAGGGAGCTAGGAGGAAGGGGAAAGCAGTTGCCTGGCCCCTTTGCCCACCTCAGCTCTGCCACTCTACCCTCAAGTCTCACCCTTACCCCTTGAGACCTACTTGCTCCCCACATGCCCCCTACATCCAAGGCTCTCAGCCACACCCTCCTTCCTCTGAGCACCACGTTTATGAATTTCTTCCTACTCTTGATTTTAAAAATGTTATTGGGGAAAAATATACTGGTTTGGTGGTGAGGACTCACTTCATGGAGAATAAAACCAGGATTTCCTATAGGATTTCTGGGGATCCCTCCCCCCCCCTGAGCTGGGAGGGATCTCCTCCGTGGAGAAATCAGGATGTAATTTTAGAAGGGAGCAGATATAAAAGATGAAATCAGGTTGAAAATACAAGGATTCTCCAGCCCTGGCTCTGGCCACTGCACAGCAAAGTTAGCTGGGTCTGAGAGATTTCCTGGGAGTGCAGCTCTCCTTCCCTGGGCCCCAAGGCCCTGCTCACGGAAATTCACCCTTCCTTCACCTCCAAATCAGTTCCCTTACGTGTATATATTTTTTAAAAAATCCAAGTCTTACTTTCAAAGCACACACTTAGTCTCAACTAGGGAATCAACAGAAGCAGAAGCGATTTTTTTCCCCCTTCTTGACATCTGGCTTGCGATTGGCTGGAAGGGGGTCAGCTGACTTTGTCATTTTGTCTGTCCTGGATTGGAGCCGTCCCTATAACCATCTAGTTCCGAGTACAAACTGGAGACAGAAATAAATATTAAAGAAATCATAGCCCGACCAGGTAAAGGCAAAGGGATGAATTCCTACTTCACTAACCCTTCCTTATCCTGCCACCTCGCCGGGGGCCAGGACGTCCTCCCCAACGTCGCCCTCAATTCCACCGCCTATGATCCAGTGAGGCATTTCTCGACCTATGGAGCGGCTGTTGCCCAGAACCGGATCTACTCGACTCCCTTTTACTCGCCACAGGAGAATGTCGTGTTCAGTTCCAGCCGGGGGCCGTATGACTATGGATCTAATTCCTTTTACCAGGAGAAAGACATGCTCTCAAACTGCAGACAAAACACCTTAGGACATAACACACAGACCTCAATCGCTCAGGATTTTAGTTCTGAGCAGGGCAGGACTGCGCCCCAGGACCAGAAAGCCAGTATCCAGATTTACCCCTGGATGCAGCGAATGAATTCGCACAGTGGTGAGTTTTACAGCTCCGAGATATAAATTAAATAAACTGAACTGGCTTTATGACCGGCTTCCCTAGAAGAACGGGCGGAGAGAGTTTTTTATGGCCCCATAAAAACAATCACGCTCGTCTCCTCGCCGACGCCGAGACAGGGCCCCCTCTTCTGCCCCCTCTGCTCGCCTCCCGCTCGCTCGCAGGGGCCTGGCCCCCTCGGCCCCTGACGGATTGGAGGGCTCCAAGGCGAGCTGAAGGGGCAGAAGCAGGGCAGGGGAGGAGGGGAGGAGGCAGGGGGTGGGGGAACCCCCAAAGTCGAGTCAGTCTAAGGAGAAGGGAGGGGTAGAGGAGGGGGCAGAAAAGTGGGGGAGAAGTTTCCTAGGAGCTAGGGTGCTTGGGGAGGTGGGGGAGTCCAGCCGTTGAGAAATGGGGCCCTCATCCCCAGTGTTTGGGATTTTTTTCAAAAACCAGCTTTTAGATTTACAGCTTTCTGCCTGGTTCTTGCCCCCACCCCCGCACCCCCATTCTTTGGGACACACACCTACCAACCTATGGGGGGAAAAGGAGTGAAGTTGGGCTCCTGGCTGTACCCCTCGTGGGGGTGGGGCAGGGCAAAAGCGAGAAGGCTGGAGCCCGAGGGGGCCCTGAGCTGCTGGTTAAGTTGGAAGAGTCAGGACCTGGCTGGGCTACGCCGCCTGCGGAGGAAGCCCTGCTGATTGTTTTTAGTGTGTTTTGTGCCCGGATCTCTAGGGGTCGGCTACGGAGCGGACCGGAGGCGCGGTCGCCAGATCTACTCGCGGTACCAGACCCTGGAACTGGAGAAGGAATTTCACTTCAACCGCTACCTAACTCGGCGCCGGCGCATCGAGATCGCCAACGCGCTCTGCCTGACCGAGCGACAGATCAAAATCTGGTTCCAGAACCGCCGGATGAAATGGAAAAAGGAATCTAATCTCACGTCCACGCTCTCAGGGGGCGGCGGAGGGGCCGCGGCTGACAGCCTGGGCGGAAAAGAGGAAAAGCGGGAAGAGACAGAAGAGGAGAAGCAGAAGGAGTGACCTGGACTGTCCCTGCCGCCCCCTCTCCTCCTCCTTCCCCCCTGCTCCCTCCTGATCACACTCTCTGTATTTATCACTGGCACAATTGGTGTGTTTTGACTCCCTCAGACAAAATTAGGGAGTCAGATATGGACCTGAAAGTAAACTCTGGACCCCCTCCCTCGCCGCACAAACTCTCACGACTCGCCTCCTCCTCGCTCCCTCGCTAGCTCGCTCTCGGCTTGTCTGCAGGCCCCTTCCCCGCCCAGGCCTTGGGGGCTCTGCCCCTGAACCTCACTTCAGACTCCACTGTTCTCCCTCAAATGAGGACTTGGCCTCCCACCCCTAGGTGCCCCCG